TGACTAGGTAAGTGGAAATGAGGAATATGGCATATAAACTCATTGGGTACGGCTGGAATGTGAGCATAACACGTCCTATTCCTTATGATATCAGCAAGATGCAATAGGTCCAAACTGGGCTTATAATTGGGCTCAGTATAAATCAAAATATTTTAGGGTTAAATTCATTAATTAATTCAAACATGCAAAGTCAAATTGACTAATCTAGCCATCTCTGGCATCTGTCATTCAAAACTAAACATGTAAAAGCAATCCAGCCTGGATTTCAGTGGGAGCAAAGTAATGCAGTTTAATAAAAGGGACTTCAATGGAGTTCAGCTGGCAACTATGTCCACCAAAATACATCCTTCTCAATTTAAAAAAAAAAAGAAATCACAGTAAAAAAAAAAAAAAGTGTGTGTGTTTGTGTGTCTGTGTGTGTGATAAACAGGTTTCTACAAACCAGTGCAGATTTTGGGAAGTTGCATATACAAAGACGTCTGTCTATGATTGTTGCATTTTTTAAAATTTCTCTCATTAGGGCAGTTACATTTTCAAAAGCATACCTTATGGAAAAATGTAAAACCCATTTCCCAGCATTTTTGTTCTTTTACAATCGCAACAGGATTTGATGGATTGGAAAAGAATATGTATACTCTTATGATACTGACATGGATACATTGAGACTGAAGTACACACCCCTATTATGACCCAATTAAAGTCAATAATAATAATAATAATAACAACAACATGAATAATAATAAGCTTCATAGAGGGTCCCATGTCCATTCCATTGCACCTCACATATATCCCAGTCACCCTCTGGGGGAGCTGGGCCGCATATAAATTTAATAATAAATAAACAAAATAAAAACAAATAAATCCCTCACGGTCCCAATATACACTCTTAAGAAGTTGCAGGCTGCTATAGGTGCTTCTCAGGGAAGGTAAGTGTGGTGGATTACAGACAGCATTAGCATAGATTAACAACATGCCCCCAATCATTATATTTGCTTATTATTGTTTTCTTTTTACACAAATTGCTTTCCAGGCAGGAATGTGCAATATATGAACCCTTCAGAAAAGATTTTAATCCTTGTTCACTTTCCAGTGCCAGGTATTTTCCGTCATTCTCTTCTCTGAGGCTGATGGTTTAATGATCCAACAGAAAGGACCCATATGGAAGAGTTTCCCCAGATGTCCAGCTAAGTGTTAGATGGCCCAGGAAAGAAACACCCTGTGAAGCAATTCTGAATGCTTGTGTGTTGAGCCAGGAGCAGCTGTATTGTGACTTTGCACATGGTACATAAATAACTCCACGCTGGTGACAGAAGCAGACTCCAGAGAGGTCCTGCATTATCTCCTGAGTGAGTCTCTCACAGCTACAGGACTATACTAATTTGCTGGATGCATATTTGGCACCCCCGTGAGATGTGAAACAGATTCCGTTTGGGACCAGCTGTTTACCAGACAAAACATAGCTGCAGCATTCCAAAGTTCTTGAGGTTTCAATGTGGGATCTAGGGGACATTAAATGGAGGAGCGTAATATTCAGCAAAAGGGTAAATCAGAAAGCGTGTTTTTGAGAATACCATGATAGCAAAAACCACCCATACTACTGGATGCTTGAGGCCCATTTAGTGGGCCTAAGCATATGGACAAATGCCTGACATCTCTCAACCTGTCCTCAGTGACAATTCATAACTCTTCCAAGGTCATTCCAGCGATCTCCCTGGTCCTGGTCCTCAGCCTCACCCATTGACTTCCCCTTCTAATTCCCCCAGCTTTGCCACGCAGAGTTGCAGTTTCTATTCCGCACCAGAAAACAGAAGGAAACATACACAGTTCTCATCCATAAGGGACATGGGATTGTTGCCAAATTATACACTGCAGAAAACGAATTTGCTTTCACAATTGCATAGGTTTCAAACAGCACACTCTTCCCCCCATGGAATGCTGTATGATTGTTGTTAAGGCTGAAAAGCAGATGCAAATGTTGGTCACTCAGTTGTGTTCTCTCAAATGCTTTGCAGCTTTCTATGTGCCAAAGAATTTGAGGAGCTTGAACTTAAAATAGACTCAAATTACATTTTATACCCTAACAAGTTTGATTGTAATCAAAGATCCTTAATTGTGACTTGAACATTCATCTTTGGAGTGGGACATTACTTGAAGAAATGGTGTGAGGAAAATTATTGCTTAACTTAATTGTTTCCACTATTCCCTCACTCCAAATAGAAATGACAGATGATTGGATTCTCTCCCCTCATTGATTCTCCACTTTCAGTCATCTCCCAAGGCAGCTCTTTAAGCTAAAAAAGGACCATCTTTAGGTCCACATTTAACTACAATATGTGGTTAGGTCAAAAGCTCTCCATGATATCTTTCATTTGTCTGCTAGAATTGTGTCAACTGATATAGAATAATACACTGCCTGAAATTGGATATAATTGCATCTGGAACAATGCTTTGTTTTAATACAAGCCATATAATAATATATATTAAAATGATGAGCAAACAGGGAAGTCAAGCCTTTAATTAGTTTTGGATTCTCACACTACATTGCTTTCTTTAAGGCAGACTAGCATAATTTGGTTTACGTGCAAGAGTTAAATTCTTCAGGTGGCTCAAACCTTATTATGGGGGCATAGATTTCCAGATTGTGTACCTATATTGGTCACTTTCAACTGCAGCAGGATATAGAAGCAATAAATAAATAACCTGATAAATACATACAAAAATAAAATTATTATAATGGGATCTCTATGTTCGGCCCTGATAATCAGAGTGTGGGAGTGGGCATGACTTTGTGCCAAAATATGGTACTCTAAAATATGAAATATAATGACAAAAATGTATAAGCTCAGCTTCAGAAGTACTGAAGGGTTTTCAAATGATTATTTAAATTACTTATACTTACAAGAAGACCCAGATGAGCTGAATAAATATTCAAATATCTGAAAGTTAAATCACAGAACCAAGCAAACAATCCAAGAGAAACAGAGATATTGTGGTATAAAGTGAGTGTGACTTTTAAACCATTTTTAATAAAGCCATGGTGAAAATCCATGTTTTTTATCAGATGGGACTATTCCATTATTAAGACATCATTTCAGATTAGTCTTAGCTTGGCTGCCCATTTGTTTTCAGGCAAAATACAAAGTGCTAGTTATTTTCTTTAAAGCACAAGACTTGGGTCCAGGCTATATGACCGAACACTCTTCTTTGCATGACACGTGCACACTCACATGCACTCCCTGAGATACTCTGAGGTGGTTTGCCCACAGCAACTGTAGGGTTTTCATGACAGCTTTGGGTCAAGCCTGCTCAGTAGCTATTCCAGTTCTCTAGAATGCACTTCCTGCTTAGCTAAGGGGACTGAACTTTGTTAGCTCTTAAAAGGGCTCTAAAAACACCCTTTTTAAAAACAGCCTTTTACTTTTACTTGCTGAAGATTCTCATTCTGATTTTAACATCTCTGTTTTTAATCCTGTTTACGTTTCAATTGTAAATGACCTAGAGATTGTGGTAATCATCTGCTGGTTCTCTCTCATGCACTTACTCTAGCAAGTATTTGAAGGATAATAATGTGATTCTCGATGCAGAAAGAAATCTCAATGCACTTTTTTTTAATGGCATTTTAAGCAAAAAATGCAGGCTTTCCACATAAGGTCACAGACCTTGGGAGCTCTTTCTCATCATTGGGTATATGAGTTCAGCAGCATTAAAGAAGTGGGGAGACCAGGGTACAGAATTTCTCTTTGGAAATTCTGACTCTGAGGCACTGCCTTTTAAGAAACCTAATCTGAGCCTCAGGGGCAAAAGGAAGGAACTGATAAAACAAGCTGCAAAGTCCCCTGCTCCAGCTGATGCTGGAAGATCACAGCAACCAAGGACACTGAGACAACACCCAGGAGAGAAAAAGGCAAGGAACAAGGATGTTAATGAAGAAAGCAAGGAGGCAAATATGGACTAAGTCGCAAGGGGTGGGGGGAGGAGGTGGGGAGCAGCCGAGGTGGATTCGCTTAGCCCTCTGCTTGGCAGGACAGAAAGTATTTCACTAGAGTCTCAAGTTGCAGCTGCGAGAAGCAGGTGTGGAGCAGACAAGAGCCTGCGCTGAAGCCGAAGGCAGGAAGGAAATTGAATTTTCCCAAGTTCCAAGCAGCGCACGGGAGAGAGAGGAGGGGAGAGACAGAGAGTTTGGCTGAGGGGAAAAGGGAGAGATAGGCAGTGTCATTCTCTGCCTCAAGTATTTGATGGGCAGATGAAAGATGGATCGCCTCCTGGGCCTGTGGGATTTCTCAGCTGTCAGAGAAGCAAGCTAAACAAAAGGTCCCCCCTTCTCCAGCTCCGCGGGTCACAGTGTGTTGGGGAGGCAGACTTCTTGAGCTACTAGTAATGCATTTTAGGGTCTCTTCCTCTCTTGCTTTTAAACATCTGGAAGGACTCCAAGCTGCAGAAGATGGAAGGACAGAAGAGAAGGAACTAGCTATCTGAAAATGTTAGCAGTGTTAGATGAAGGGGGCTTGTTTTCCCTCAGTGCTTTCTGCTAAGGATATAACAGATGATACTTACAGATATCGGCCTTAATAAATGTTAACCCTTCCTGTTCATTAGGTCCCAGTATGAAGCAGGATTTTTCCAAAAAAACCAAATTTATTTCTCATTTCAATGTTACTTTACAGTTGATTTGTGGTTTTGATGATTAGAAAATATTAGATAATAGAAAAAAGAGAGCTTCTTTTTTTTGCAACCATAGAGTAAGAGATCATTTTGTAATCATATTTATATTTGCTGCAAAGGGAACCAGAAGCTTCTTCTTTCTATTTCTTTTTAGCTTGTCTTTTTGCACCTTTGTCCTTTCCTGTCTTCCTCTTCTTTCCTTTCCTTTCTTCCTTTACCTTGCATTAGTTTTTGTTAGTTTTTATCTTTTTTAAAAAACTTTTAATAAAACGTATATTTAAATAAATAAATAAATAAATAAATAAATAAATAAGTAAATTTTACTTTACAGCAACATCCAAGCAATGAGAGCATTTTATTCATTCCTCACATCTTAGATTCAGGAAGGGGGAGGAATACAAACAGGATAACAATGATCAAAATTGAAATCTAGCAGCACATAAGAAAGCCAAGATTAATACCAGCAGAAGCAAGAGGAACCAACGCTGCATACAGAGCCAAGGTAAAACCAATAGTAAAATTACACTGCGCTGCACTAAAAGCATTGAAAAGTATATTAAAACATTGAAAGAAGTATTAAAAAAATATTTTCTCCTCTCCCCCCCCCCCCCCCCCCCCGATAACTCTGTAAGGAAATCAGGAAATATAAGGTAATTCCATACTGATTCACGAATTACTGTAAGGTAATTCATACAGGTTGAGTCTGTAAGGCATGGTTTTGTTCCAGATTTACAACCATGATATAATGACACTGCATCAGAAAAGGAGTTTGGATCAGAGATCCGTTATAGGCAAGTTTTTAACAAAGTCACCATTCATTAACACAGAAATCACCAAAAGATTAGCATTAAAAAAATGGTAATCTTTGTGAGCCAACTTAAGAACTTTCACAGCAACCATCTCAATTCAGATGAAGAAACTTCATTATTTTCAATGGGTGAGAGGAATAGTACTCCAGTAGACAGAGGAAATCTTCTGCATTTTCCCCCCAGCAACTTTAACTCAATTTGCTGGAAGGAAATTTGCATTAGAAAGTCTTTCAGCTGAGAAGAGGGGTTTGGAGACATTGTCATATGGGGTCCTTATCATTCTTACACTTAGCATCGGTTGCCAAGATGTAGTTGTAAATCTACTGTATCTATATGAATCTGAAAATCTCTTCAGGAGATTTCTGGTTCCTACACTCCTATCAAATACAGAGGGAAGACCTCAGAAGAAAACTCATTCCCTGGGTTTTTCAATAGTAGTGCTACTGTCACAGCTTAGGAGGAAAAATCATTAAAGAGTGCCTCCTTCACCTGGAGAAATCAGTCAACCACTTTTTCTGTTCACAATTAGGGTATGGAGTTTCAAAAAGCCATTTGTGCCCAGTTTTATTTTAAACAATGGAATGGGACCTAATTACAACTAACCTATGTCCATTTGCATTGAAGGTGACTTCAAATTTCTAACTGATTATGAATATCCTGTCCTTGATATTTGATTGAAATAAATCAGATTTTTCTTTTAAATTAAGCCACTTCTAGGGATCAGGTGTTTATTTCTGTAATAGAATTTCCCCAAATTTGAGTATTGGCAGTTACGAAAAAATAGATAACCTTGAAGGATGAATCCAATAAATACATCCCAATCAATATAAAGGCTTAAAAATAGAATGTGGCATGGAGGGAAATAGCAGGAACAGGTTATCTCATAATTCTCCTTGCTTTTTCTTTTTTAAAAACTTATTTGTATTAAGATGCTGATTTTAACCAATGAACTCTTCAATGATTTAACACTTCACATCAGAGAGATTACTATCTTCTTCCTTCATTGTTATAGGACTATACTTAAAACTGATCTCTTTTGAATGTGCCAGCAGTGGGCATATGGCATATGAATACATTGTTTTCAGCTACGTACAACTATGGGACTACCATCTTTAAATTAGTAAAATCAGCATGATCCAGGTACAGGTAAGTCCCCAGTTTAAGAACAAGTTCTGTTCCCAAGGTCTGTCCCTAAGTCGAATTTGTATGTAAGCCAGAACAACATTATTGTATAATACTGTATAAATAGCATTGTGTATTTAACTCAAACCATTGTGTATTTAACTTGAATTTTGCTACAATAGACTCTGTTCTTAACTATGGGTCGTCTGTAAGCCAGGCATTCTTAATCCAAAGACTACCTGTATAGTCAAGCCATTTACCACTGATTTCATAAAACAGATGCTAGTGTGTACTTAATTTCTCCACTGAAATCAATGAGATGTGAAAAGTCAGTTTGCAAGATGGGTGACCATATACATTGGTTAAATGAACAAACAAACAAACAAATACTTGCTTAATATTGGTTGAATCCCATCTTGTATTTGTAGATTAGCTTTTGGTTGTCATGCACATGATAGTAAGATGTCTAGCAAACATATACATAAAAATATTATAAGAGGTTCTCCTAGGACAAAAACTAAGTTTGTTGAAGAACACAGTTCATGCATCTGAAGAACCAAGAGCAAGAAAGACTAAACCTTCCCAAGGTTGCCAGTCACTCTGTCTGGGACAAATATCATCCTCAATATACAGTATGGAAAATGGAAAAAGCCAACATGAAAACGAACACCATTTGTTGAATCACTCTCTACAAACAGAAAAAAAAATCCATTAGAATGGAAACATTCTTTACAAGTCTGCTGTAACCAACTGTGACCAAATATTGGTGTTAACTGGATTCTAAATAACAACTGCATTTCATGGCTCCACTAATGGCTACCTTGGTCACTTGTATAATGGCCATTTTCTGACAAAAAAAACCTTTTGGTGTGCCTTGGTTTCTGTGATGACGCAGTAACAGAGATCAACATGATTTCCATCTACGCTGTCTAAGAGCAGCTTCTAATGTAGTGTGTAATTTATTCTCAAATCAGATTTTCAGCTTGGCCACCCCAGACATTTGGCTTCCAGCCCACACCCTGCTCAGGTTCTCTTCAAAATGTTTGGAACATTATCTCCATTGGGCAAGTGACATTCCCCCCAATTGCATGTGAGAGCCTGTTTTTGAGCTGTATTTGCTAGAGCAGGGGAGGTACAGCTCTTCTCAGAAGACTCTGCATTCCCATCCTAGGGCATCTAAGCAGCTGGGTTCGATCTTCACTTTTGCCAAGCTAAGACTCTGTGCTGCATTTGACACACTAAGAGGGACCCCTGTATCCAAAATATTTTCTGGGCTTCAAGAATTTCACAGCTGGCTCTTGTCTGTGACTGGCTCTTTTAGCTGGCATGTATCTACCCCCCCAAAAAACTAAGACAACTGGAACAATCTACTGCCTGTTCAAGAATTCAGCAAAGTTTTCTCTACTGTGAAGTTTCTAGTTAGATGGAAACAAATCTAATTTCCCATCAACCTAAACATAGCTGTATAGTTAACAACACACTGTTGTGCTGATTTTAGTAATGACCGATCATTTTTCACTTGTTCAGAAATGACACTGTTAACAGTCGGTTCCTTTCAGCAAAAGCCGCACCTTCTAAAATCATCCATATCTTTGTGTATGGATATAAAGGAGAGAGAAGTGCAGCGTGCATGACAAAGATGCAACCATCACAAATGTTTCCCCATCAGGGAATGGTAACCAGAAGTTAGCTGTCCTTTGCACTGGAAAGTTGAGTCTCCTGATTTAGGTCACCTGGCACCATATCTTCCCCCTTTGTAAAAAATATGGGTCATCTAAGATAGCCATGTTTTACAGAATCATAGAGTTGGAAGATTAATCCCTGCCCAGGGCAGGAATCCTTATGTCATCCCAGACAAAGGGCTGTCCAACCACTGCTTGAAAATCTCCAGTGATGGAGCCCCACAACTCCAGGAGGCTGTTCCACTGCTTCATAGCTTTCACAGTCAGGACATTCTGGTTTTCAATGCTACAGCCCTTAGCAACCAGAGCTCTGGCAATCTCAGATGACTGAAGTCTTCTCCTTTCAGAAAAGTTGGGCAGATAAGACAGATACATGCTCATTGGCAATCCAACTTGAGCCCTTGTAAGCACAGTTCTTGCAGATAGAGGAGGAGGGAAGTTTGGAGTACAGCTTCTGGGGAAAGTTTCATTCAAGCCCCTAAGATTTGTCTGGCCAGCTATGGCAAACTGATTTAGGCTCTTAGGCCATAAAAACTAGTTATTCAAAATGAATAAAAGATCAATCATTTGTTTCAGAGAACTTGGGGGAGAGAATCTCATGAATGGAACATGGTGTTTTCACTGTTACTTAGTGGCCAAGTGTTTTGGGGGTGTGCATGTGAATGTCCCATCTTTCATAATGCAACCATCCCTTCAGTGCTTATATCCCCCCAGGGAAGGTATGATAACTCCCTCTGGGCTGGACAGCCAGGGAGGTTCTGAAGGACAGAAGGATGTATTATGGAAGATAAGAACACTAGCAGTAGCAGTGCCTGCCACCTACAGCAAGGGTCAGCTCCAAAACGCCATTAAGAGGCATTTGAAATAAGTTCTGGGGAACCTGAGAATGAAGTAGAAAAACAGAACCCTTTTTCACCAGGGAACAAAACTTTTGAGAGACTACTAAGATTTCAGCACAACTGCAGTGGAAACAGTTCAAATAAGAAGCACTGATGGCTTTGGCAGGAGTCCTCTTTTCTTTCTCTACTTCTGGTATTTCATAAGGATAAGGATAACATCAGTTTAGCCCAAAGATCTGGCAATATGCCAGTAAAGGCACTCTGGAGCATAGGAATGATGCTGTCTGACACAGCCTCCTTTGCCTTCTGCAGCAACACCATCCCCACCACCGTCCCAAATGCAACAGAGACAAAATAGCTGCACTGTTCATTTGAAAATGGCTGAAACAAGAGCCTAAAACCATTGCAGACTTCATCTAGTCTCATTCGCAAACAGATCCAAAGGCTGGCCCTTGTCAAGTTTGGAGGAGGATGTACCAGTAATGGCGCTAGGAATCCCGTCCAAAACACAGCCTCAATTAAAATGCTGGGATTAAAATTTGTTTTATTTCTTTGGCTTAAATCCCAGATTTTTGCTTTAACCGCACTGAAGGAGTGGCTATTAAAAAGCACATAGCCTCATCCTGTCCACCTCAGTCTCTGAATGTGCTGTAACAAAGCAAGCATTGCACAAGGTATGTGGTTGCATCAAGAAGATTTGGTCTCATAGCAAGTCTGAGGAGTGTCAGGCAAGAATCCAGCCTACGGGCAACCACCTCACATTTACCTCAGGAGGAAATGGCCGCACCATCCAGAAAAGCTGCAGGTCGAAGAGGGCAAAGGTAGTCACGGATTGAAACAACAACCAGGAAAGGGACTTTTGCTGCCAGTGTGTATCCTGTGAATTGACTTCATTACCTGTGAACACATAATGAAATTCCCCTGTTAACTAACAAGTGGAGACCATCCTAGAAATCTTTGAGCAGATCTTAATGCAAGGGTGGCTCTCTGAACTACTATTCCCATCAGTCCCAGCATCCTGGCCAATTGTGAAGAATGCTGGGCATTATAGTTTCAGCAGCAAGTGACATATCACAGTTCCCTTCCTCCTTCCCAAGGGAATTGCTGCTTAGAATCCAATTCAGTGAGGCTTGGAGAGATTTGCCATTCAATGATTTTCAGTTCCTTTCATTGAAACGGCTGCACCAACTTCAAAGCATAGAGGCTATAGATCTTTTCAGTGAAATAACTCTTCTTATCACAGGCATAAGAACTTTTTAGTATTTTTTTAAAATTTTATAATTTTAAAATTTGTAATTTTATAATTTATCATTTCCTGTCCCTTTAAAATATCGCAGATTATGCTCATCCAGAACAACCCAATGCATGCACAGCTGCAGGTACAAAATTCATTCATATTATAAAGTAGAGATGCCCCCCAGTGGAGCTTCCTTCCTGGTTACTGCATCAATGCAGCTTTTTTGGCAGTTTATGCTAATTTGCCTTCTACCATAATTTGGTTTTCAACTTCTCCTTTTCTACAATTAGCAACCTAGAATTCCCAGTCCATCCCTCCTGTAAGTACTAATCAGTACTTACTTGGAAGCATATATAAATGCAATCCAATCAATCAATCACATCTAATAAATAAATAAATAAATAATCAAATTAGCCAAGGTCCTTCTACCATACTTCTAATTTTTTCAGGAAGAAAACAGTGCCAAGAAGTTGGCAACCAGTCACTTTTCTCCTCTGTCTCCCCACTTTTCTTTCTAAAAAATTGCTCTCTGTGGTGTTCAATCTTTGACTTTCCAAAATAAGACCATGCTGATTAATGAGCTGTCATCCCAGGTAAATGAAGCTCTTAGGAATATGGAGGTTGTCCTAACTGTGATTCCTCAGTAAGAATAGCTACAGATCACTTCGCACTATTAAGCACAGAATTTGCAGAGAGCCTTTAACGTATCATGGAGGAGCTGATGATAATGACTTTCAAGACATCAGTAAGGCTGATACTCTCCAAGAGCACCCACAACAGATGTGAAAATTGAGAGAAAGTTGAGCTCAGGTGGTTGCATATGCATGCCGCTGAAATTTGTGGTCTTCTCTTGTGCTTTCTCTCTCAGAGAGAGAGTCAGGTCAGGAAGTGGAAATAACTGCTGTAGAGTGACCGACAGGTTAATCTCATCATCTAAAGGAAGTTCTCCCCAGGTAGGTGAACCTCCCCACATCAGCACCCCTGCTGTCCAGGAACAGACATGACTGCTGTCAGTAAATTCATCAGCCGCTGGAATGAGGGGAGTGCTTACTCTGGGCTAAATAGCCTTGGTTTTGCACCCAGACTCAAAATAATATGCCTGAATATAGCACGAAAGTCAGGTCATTTCTAAGGCTGAACTGATGTGTGCAAGCAAATATTTAAATTGCAAACAAGGAATTCAAGTTTGCAATTTCCTAAGACAGATCAACCAAAAAATATCACAGTTTACTAAGATACATGTTCATGGCCATGAGGATAAACTTAGCACAACACTGGAAAAGAGATATGTTACCAACAATATCAGACTGTGAATTTAAACTTGGAGAATATACAGTAATGACAAAATTAACAGCATATATTCATAACAGCAGTTTGACCAAATTTAAGCAAGAATGGCTTCCATATATATTACATATTACACAGCAAGGCAAATTTAAGCATTTAGAGTATGGGTTTTAAAGGGAAAAAGAATTGACCAAAGAATTGGATTAAAAAATACATGAACATTTTGAATGTTTATCAGTCGAAATACAACAAAGGGGAAGTTAGAAACTAAATATTTACCTATAATATTTTAGTAGTTTTTCTTCTTTCTCCTTTTTAATGGTATATTTAAATAACAGAATAGTAGAGACTTTGGCAATTATCTCAGAGATTCAAAAAGATCACTAAAATTCTTCTTTCTTATTCTTAAAAATACCTTAATAATATTTATACTTAATATACTGAGCACTAACTGTACAGCTTCTGTAACTTCTTTGTCCACTTCCTGATATTATATCTTTGTATTAATGTTTTCTTGTTTTCCTTTTTCACTTGTTAGTTTTCTCTTTTTTTAAAAAAAAGTTTTTAAAATAATTTTTTTTAAGTTTCCAATTTACCCCTGCAAACAGAGAATCTTTGGATTAGTTTCTCCTGAGGCAACTTTTAAAGTTAAAGTCGAGTCAAATCAAAGTAAAACATACAAAACAAAACGAATTCAGCAAGCCTGTCTCTGAACAAAACCAGTCAGATTTGGATACATGACTAAGATCGGAATGGAAAAAGAAAATCTAATTCTGAATAAGTCCTCTGTACAAACCAGTGTTGACCGTCTTCAGTGAAGCTATTACATGCTCATATGTGATGGGTTATGCCAGGGGTAGGGAACCAATGATTTTTTTTTCCAACGATGAATTAATTGAAAACTAACTTTAATTAAAGTTAGTTGAAGAAATAAACCAGGAAAGTGGAATGGTGGTTCTCTTGAGGTTACTGAACTACAGCTCCTAGCATCCCTCACTATTGACCATCCTGATTCTGACTGCTGGGAATTGTAATTCGGCAACATCTGGAGAGCCAAACTATGTCTGCTAAAATTCTAGACAACCACGATGTCATGTAAAGTCCCATTTCAGAAATGAGCGCCACAGTGAGTCAGAGTTTCATAGTGCTCACCTTCCAAAGAGGGCTGATAAAGCAACAGTGATTTTTTTCCAGTTCAGATTTTAACTTTAACCAGGAAAGATCTTGGCCTCAAAGTTATTTTCAAATCCATAGAGTTCAGTCTCTTATCCTGGAGCAATTCCATTGTTTGTAATTAGGTTGCAGAATCAGTGAATTGGAGGCTGTGGCAGCTGTTTATGTCCAAGAAATAACATGTGAACAGCACAGTTTGCTGTCCGCTACTTTTTAATGTCTCCATTCTGCCTTAAAATTCTTCCTTGTTTTCAGAGAATCCTGGAGATTGGCCAGGATGCCTTTGGAGAAGGAAACAGATGGCAACCCCAAAGAGCCCTGGTCATGTGAAACGGATGTGCATTCACCCATGGATCCCAGACAGCTTTTCAAGGTTTGATGAGCTCTCTGTCCAACACAACTGATAAAAATCAAAATAAAAGGGCTGGTTTTGTGGTGTATTCTCCTCCATAAACTGCAGACACTTGAGTTTTAACCCATCTTGATATGGTATCAGTTGCTCCCCTACCACCCATTTACCAAAAACAAAAAGTACACACTGCAATTTTTGTGCAAAGAAAAGTATTCTGCCATAAATGGGAAGTTTAGTAGGAATATGTCCCAAGTTACAGAAGGACGGGAATCACAAGGATTGGAATTCTGAAGACCGAATAGCTCCTTTCCACCATATTATTAGTTAATAAATCTGTTCTACTTCAATGGTTTAATTCTACAGCAGATCAATGACATTATATAGGACTGAAAAACATTTCCTTCTATAAATTAAAAAACATTAAGACATAACAATTCAAATAGAAATCACACATTAAATATTGAATGATTGCATCCATTTACTGAATTATAGAAATGGGCTAATGCAATTAAATTATAAAAGTTGGGAAGAATCCCTGTAAAATATCTCTGTAGTCATGGAACGTATCGGTAAACAGGCTTATGTTGTACTGTATTTGTAAATCCCATTTTAGCATCTAAAATTCTAAAGCCAGAGGAATCACATTAACAGATTTATTCCTATTCTATCCATTCTTCAAGATCCCCAAGTGGTACTCATAGGCTTGTTTGTCATTGCCTAGTGTAGCTCCAGGCAGTGCAGATCTGCTCAGATTTGGATATTAAATTACATGGAATATCTTTCACCTCTGCCATGGTAGTTTTACATTACAAGATGGAAAAGTTCACTTATCCTAGGGGTTGCTTTAAAAAAAAAAAGCTGTTCTTTGAGCAAAAAGGGTTCAAAGAACATCAGTAGGAGTTCAGATTGCAATGAATAAAGCCAAAGACTGAGTGGCATGAAATTCCTTAGCTTCTGAGAAAAATAGTATCTTCAGCTACAGACTTCCATGGGGGGAAGGCTAGGGGGACAAATGATGAAATGTGTGCAATGATGTAATCACATAAATGTTGTGATGTATGTGTTTTCATCACACCAGTAGGCAAGTATAAAAGGGTGGGGCTTGCTTTCTGACATCACAATGCACATTTTGGCATCCTTAGGAATGGAATTGTAGCATTTATTCTTCTAGGTTGGAGTGTTTGTGATTATCACTCTGCCCGACATTGGTTTCCAAACCCTTCGCCATCTTTGTAGTCCTCCTCCGAACTTACTCCAGTTTGTCACTGCTTTTTTTAAACTGTGGTGCCCAGAACTGGTTGCAGTACTCCAAGTGGGGTCTGATAAGACAGAGTACAGTAGAACCTTTATTTCCTGTGATCTGGGCTCTGCGGTCTGATCTGGGCTCTTGTGGTCCCACCCCAAGATAGCATTTCCCTTTATAGCAGCTGCATTACCCTGCTGGTTCATGTTTAACTTGTAGTTGACAAAGACACCTAGATCCCTTTCATACATACTGTTGCCAAATCAGGTCTTCCCTCATCCTATAGTTCTGCCTCACTTTCTTTTTCTCCCCAGATGCAGAACTTTATATATTATTTTTCCTTGGAGAATCACTGAGTGCTTTAAAAAAGTAGAACAACAATTTAAAAATGAAATAACACAAACCATTAAAAAATTACTAAAGTTTATTTTATTTAAAAATCCTAGTGATCAGTACATCAAAATCCTGGGTGGAGAGGTTTTCATTTTGTATCTTAACCAAGTATGGCAAATCCTGCTGGTGGTGTTTCTACTCCACAGTCTTTGTGCATTTTATCCATTAGAATTATCACAAGTAAAGTTCCCTCCGTAGATCTGAAAAGTAGGCTGTGTGGGCTGTACAATTTATGTTGAGTAATTACCTCCTGACTCAAGAATGGGAGGATAGCACATTAAAGCAGCTGTCTGAATGAGCTCTCTTTCTTTCTCAAACTGAATGAAGATGCAACAGGTACAGTGAACACAGCAAACTTTTCATCAGAATCACATTAAAGATGCCCAGGGAGATTCAGTACCATATTTGAATGTTTGTTAACCTTGACAAACCATATAAATGGGTCTTGGGTGTGTTCACTAGATGAAGCTAACTTTGTAGGGCCTCAGATGAAATAATGCTGAAGACAATGGGATCTGACTGGTCTTGAGAACAAGAAATAATTTCCAGGGGGAGTTAAGAAAGCAGGAGCACAGGAAAAAATACTGCATTTGCTGGTTTGGGCAAAAGCTCAGGTTTTGCGCAAGATGTAATGAGTTTAGCTTCTGCCTGAGTTTGCTGAATCAAGAAATAATAAACCAGCACATTTTGCAGGAGCAAGTAAAATCAAGAACAAGACTTGTAACATGTTCCAATGAGATAATAAATCCTGGTGTTCATTAACTTATAGGGCCACATTAAAAGAGGAAAAGTATGAAGACAGGAAAAACAGTGATGAAAGAGAAAAGAAAGGAACAATAGGCTAGCAATTTTAAAACCAAGGGCAAATATTCTTGCAAGCATTGGCAAATCATGTCTTGAAGCATGAAACTTCCAGGTTTAGCCCTTGATGAATTCATTCCACTTTGTCCTCAGAGGACCTAATGAAATGCGCCTCTTCAACCTAAGAACGCAAAGAACTCTTAGGCAACACTTGGTTTCAGACAGAATTGGAAGAATATTGGGAACATATATTCTGTGTGCATCTATCCATAGGGCTTCTATTGTATGTGTATGCAAGTTCTGAGCGGGGATCTGCATTACACAATCCAAAGAAATTCAGGATCTGAAGGCTGACTCTGTTCCTATCCACAAAGATGTTGAGGAACTGTAGCTTAGGCAAGGACTCTTTAAAATGTGGATCAAACCAGTTTCTCCAGTGATTCACTCTGGGGAAAAGCTTTTTTTCTGGGTGGGGGGAGGGCTTTCTTGGATGCCAAAATATTTTTTATCAAGCCCTAATTCAGTTCCATATGCCAGTAGTTCCATCCTTTGTTACTACACAGTGACAAAACAAGTTTGTTAACAGCGAGTTCCTGCTGAATTTACCTCTATCACTGAATTTGAAAGCAGATATTTATTGCATTCATACTTAAAAGTTCTTATTATACCTATGAGGTATTTTATTATTTTTATAACTGAATGTATTATTATGTTATAACCATTCTTTTCTCTTGAAAGCTCAAAGCAGTGTGTATGACATGGCTGAGAAAGAATACCCAATGCCAAAGATCTCCACAATCAAGTGGAAACTTAAGCCTGGATTTCTGTAATCCAAGTCCAACTCTCTAATCTTTATACTACATTGGTTCTTAGTAGCATACACATGAAGTACCTTTTCAAAATGTACAACCGCCCTTTGTAGCTTCATATCTGTTCTTCTTCAATCTCTTTGGGGGAAGGCTTAGTGCTAGAGGACATGCCGACTATGAAAAAGATCCTCAGCTATTGCTGAGCAAGACAGTGATCTAAAATCCATAGCCAGATGGACTATCAGTTTGTCTTTGTGTAAGTGAATATGTTAGTATATATATTATAAAATATCCCCCCCCATCTATTTTTTTTTCTAAATTGAAAACCTTCTGAAGTCATCTCATGTAAACAATGCATCAGATGTTCAATTTTTTTTTCTGGATTCATGTAACATGTGTATCACTGAAAATCTCTTGTACCTGTGCCAATGGGAGAGCTGCATTTCTCCTACCCAAACATTTGTTCCATCTGCTGTAGCTTCCTACAACCTCTTCCTCTGACAGACATTCAGTGGATGGGTATCTAAAAAGCCTCTTCCAAAGAAACAGCTACTGTGCTTAGATTTCATTCTTAATCACTCCATGGCCTTTCACAATCAGATTGCTCATCACATTATTTCTGTTTCTGGCCCATTAAGCTAGTGTAATTGCAGAATACCATCCGTTTGTGGGTTTCTAGGAAGTGACTTTGAGAGCAGCTCTGCTTTCCCTAACATTCATATGAAAAGTGTCATTTATTTTATTGGAACAAAATTGCATTAAAGTTTATCCTCAATGTTTAAGTATGAACCGCGGTTTATAACTTGTGGTGGAATTTGTTTTTGTGTACGTTAAACCCAACAGAGATTCTGAAAAATGATCAGGTGTGCAAACCAGCTGGTAGCCATAACTAACATGCTATCTCTCTCTTTTACAATTAGAGTTAGGGCCACTTCTCCACAACTGATTTAGCTCCTGAGGGTGGATATCAGGCAGCTGCCTGCATATCCTTGATTCCAGGCTGTCACTAGGAACACAGGTGTCTTTGCCAGAAAAAAAAAGGAAAGAGGACTATGCTTATATTTGAAGACAGTCCAGAAGCTGCAGCTGATGAATAAATGAGATAAACCTAACACAGATCTGTAAAGAGCTTCACTGACGACCAGATCCAATTCAAGGCAATGACCATAATCTATAAAGGCCTAAATAGCATCAGACCCAAATATGTGAGAGACCTCCCCTAACCATACCACCCTATCTCTGTCTTAAGATCAGTTGGGAACCTTATTTGTGGTTCCACATGGGATCTGGCTTACAATGAGGTGAGCAGAAGTACAGCCTTCATTGTGGTAGTGTCCAAACGAAGTCTGTCCTGGACATTTGGATGGTAATAATTGCTCCAGGACCTGGGGTCTTTCAAAGGATTTTTTTTTTTATTTTATGGCTGTCCAGCTGTGCACTTGGTGCAATGGTTGTGTACTTTTATTATTACAGTGATTTGTTTCACTGCAGATTGACTTATTGCTTTTGTCTGGATGCACCCATCCAGGAGTTCTTGGGGAAAAGAACTGTAGACCAATAAAATGATAAGTAATAATGCTAATTCTACAATACTACTACAAATATTTCACTTCTGAATGTAAGTGTGAGCCTCTGGTAATGGAGGGGGGAGAATCATATTCCAGTTACAGTTCTGAAAGTTTTTCCTTCTCCTTTTTAATCCATGCCATGTGGATGTCAATCAGGCAGAGAAGAGCTAATCTCAACCGAAAGGTGAGTGAAGGGCATTGTGAGTGCATCCCGACCAATTAGTCCAACAGCCTGTGATTAAATAGAC